AAAAATCAGGCTCTGGCCTTCACAACAGCAGCCGGAACAAAGCCCTGGGGAAGACAAATCCACTCCTTGAGATCCGCCAGCCAGCCAGAACTTATCTGTTCTCCAGCGCCTGAGCAGTGGAAAGAATTGTGGATTTAGAAACAAGTGCGCTGGCTTGGGGTCCTGCTCCTGCAGAACCACTCCCTGTCTGTCTCTGCGCTCTCAGTCTCCCAGGTGTGAATGGGAAGATCCACCAGCGCAGAGTTGGCTGGGATTCCAGAGTGCTGAACAAGGGCGGAGCATCATTGTGGTGGCTGTTTACAGTTGTGGATGTGGCTGCCTACCCTGGAGAGAAGCTTTTCATCACAGACATTGAAATCTCAAGCAAGCTGGCTTGGAAGGAAACTGAGCTCCCTGGAAGGTTCTGAGCCTCCCTGGGAGGGCGTGGTCTCAGGGTAGGAATTAAGGGGTCCTGAGCAAGCCCTGTCATTCTTTTCCAGCCCAAAGCAAGAAAGGAATGAGAAGGGACACTGGACAGTAGAGGGAAAACATACTCAGAGAAGAGCCACCACAGCAGAGATTGTACAGGACAATGACCCAGAGCCATTCAGGGTAGGGATAAGAGTGGGCTGCCATCAGTGCACAGTTCATAGTCAGCCCCCTGACAGCAGTGATCTGGAGTCTCTAAGAAATGGCCAAAACCTTTTCTGTCTTTGTATGGAATAACATATAGGCAACCACCTTTAGGGAGATTTCTATCAAACAGGTGGAGGGTGGAAACTGGAGCTAAAATGACTTAACCTTCTCTTTAACCAACACAGAGCAGCTCATCTCTACTGCTGCCAGATAAATAAGGAGCCCCTGAATTCAGCACAACAGCCATCGTCCGATAGCCCTACCTCCCTCTGCCCCAGCCACAGCACCAGCTAGGCACGGGGCAGCAGATAGATGGCCGTGGCTCGGGCAGCAGCAAGGGAAGGCTGTTGCCCACCTTAATAACTAAGCAGCCCCTCTGTGGGGGCAGGACCCTATTCCACATAGTTCCCAGATACCAGGGGTCCTGCCTCAAGTTAAATGAACTGCTCAGCTAAGGAGCTGCCTCACCTTCTCACCCATCTCTCTCCCTGCCTCATGTCCTCACTATGGTTACTTCAGTTTTGTTTGAACTTTGTACCAGGAGCTCACATTCTTGAGTTACTCTGGGCAGAAACAAGGGCAACACGAGTAACAGAGGGCTGGTGTTCAAGGTAGATAAAGACCTCCCAGCGGATGGCCACGTGAGCACACCACACAGCGCCCTCTCTGGGTGGCTGGGCCTCTGGATCTCAGAACCTCTGCCTCCATAGCAACAAATTGCTTTTATTACCTTTTTTCCTAAAGTACCAAATGTTGAGGGTTCATTGTAGAAAACGTAGAAAATATTACAGGTAGAGAAAAAGAAGATGATTAAAGAGCACTGGTGATCCCAGTAATCAGAGAGAACCTCTTATGATTTTGGTTTACATTTTTTTCAGTCTCTTTCGGATATGCAGGTGAACAAATATTTTTAAATGTGACCAATCATATATTACCCTTTCCCCCACTTAATAGCATATCATAAATAGTTCTCTCTCATTAAATATTCCTCCATATCAGTGCTTTTCAAAACAAGGTCTGGGGACACCTGGAGATCCTTGAGACTTTCAAGGGAGTCTTTCAAGTCACAACTATTGTCATAATAATATTAAGATGTTATTTGCCACATCATTCTCATTCTCCCGCAAGCATATAGTGGAGTTTCTCAGAGTTGGCATGATGTGTGATATGCAAATGCAGCCATCTTCGATTAAGCCAGATTGATGTTAAAAAGATTTACCGAAGTGTAAGATAATGCCATTCTTCTCATTTATTTTTTATTTTGTAAAATATAATTATTTTTCATAAAAATACATTTTTCAGGAGAACACAAAATAGGTTTATTCCTATTGCATTAGTAAATACATACTTTTAAAATTCCTTCATCTTTATTTTGAATATGCTAAATATTTATAGATGTAACCTATGTAAACAAAGTCTTTTGGGATCCTCAATGATTATTAAGAGTGTACAGAAGTGTTTTCTTTCTTTTTTTTTTTTTTTCGCAGTTTTTGGCCGGGGCTGGGTTTGAACCCACCACCTCCGACATATGGGGCCAGCGCCCTACTCCTTTCAGCCACAGGTGCCACCCCAGAAGTGTTTTTCAATCTCTTTCATGTCACGGCTATAAAACTTATAGTTAAACTTCCATGGCACACTTAAATTATGTTGCTTAAAGGAGTAAAAAGAAGAATATGCTTACTGTACTGTAAACTTCTTTTGAAAATTATTTAATTAGTGATCTTTAAAATTTTTGTGGCACACTTAAGATCCTCTCAAGGTACACCAGTGTACTGCGGCACACTGGTTGAAAATCACTGATGTACAGTGATCCTAAGGCTGAATGTCTGAGAACAGCTACTCTACACCACGAATTTGAATGACTGTGTGGTATTCCTTTGCACAGGGGAAGTTTGCACAGCTGGTGTGTTCACCCATTTCCTTACTGATGGGCCTGCAGGTAGTTTCCAACTTTACACGGTCATTAAAATGCTGCACATATCACTGTGTATCCACGGAAAGTGAAAACTTCTTGAAGTGAGAGAAAATCACAAAAATCAGCTGGTCCTGTAAGTCATCACTACGCAGTATCAGCCAGTGATTCATCCAGCTACACAAAATGTACCCCAGAATATGAACAAATAAAGTTGAATAATGTGTCCATCAAATACATTTACACACAGATCACGTAGTTCTACAGAGAGAGACTTATGCTCTGTAAAGGGCACTTTTTTCCCTGCTGTCCATGAAGTGTTTACAAAATTGGATCATATTCTAGACCAGTGTTACCAACAGTATAAAACTTTGTTACTATTTCAGAAATTGAGGGGAAGAGTTTAGCAACTTTAAAGCAATTTGACAGAGAAATTTTATTTCTGTTGAATATAATACAAGTTGAGGTTTGTAAAAATAATCGAGTGCTCAAAAATGCTGCCAATGTTTTTTTTTAAACACTTATTTCTGTAGGATGGACTCCTAAAGTGGAATTGCTGGCCCTACAGACACATATCCTTGAATGTTAATAGATGTTACCAATAGATGTCACTTACATCTCACCAAAAGTCCATCTGAGCATCGGCTCTTTCGCACCTTCCATAGTCCTGGAGATTGTTACTCTTCTAAATCTTTTCCAATTAGTAGGTTAAAAGCTTTATTTTGTCTTCTGCAAATGGCTTATTTAAATCTTTTGTCCATTTTTCTTTTGGTTTCTTTTTCTTACTGATTTTTTTTTGTAACTCTTTCTGCATTCTGGACACAAATCTGATGTCTGTTACATATTGCACATATTGTACTCAAGTATGTGGCTTGCCCTTTCCTTTTATTTGGGTGTCTCATTGGCATACAGAAACTATCTTTTTAAAAGATGTATTCTAATCTATGGTTTTCTTCATGGTTTTAAGGATTCTTGTCTTGCTTAGGAAGCCTTTCCTCATTGCGTGATTTAAAAAATGCACCCCATTTTCCTCTAAGACACTTGTAGCTTTTCTTTTTTTCCCTAATGCTAAGAGCCTTACTCCTTCTAGAATTAATTTCTGTCATGCTCTGAGCATTGACTGTTAAGCCTTGCAAGCCATACAATGGAGTAGGGCAGGGTGCTGCTACAGGCTTGAGCCTTCAGTGCTTCTGGGGACCTGCAGGCCTGCTGTGGACCTGACTGGTGGAGCTGAGTGGACTCATCCCTGGGGCAGACAGAGACCTGAGGCCATCTGGCTTGGGAGGGGGGCAAACGACACTTGAGAATCCTTCTGAATGTGTTAGACCATCTGTTGACCTCTGCCATGTTGACCAGCAGAGCTGACAACCTACCCAAGAAAGTAATCAAACATCTTTAATGTGTAGTGTGGCTGCCAAGGAGCTTCACGTCAATCGTCCCACTTGCTGCCAACATGAAAGATGTAGGCAGAGAAGGATGTATGATCCCAGTTTTGTCAATGCAGGAAATTAAGGAGCAGAGAAGTGATAGGACATGCCTGAGGTCACAGGTGGGCAGAGGGCAGAGTGGGGACCTGCTGCCACCAAGCGCACCCCCACTGCAGCTATCTCCTTTTGTGGAAAGGAGGGTCTGGTCTAAGCATTTTCCAAATAGGTGCTCCCCCACTGTGGGTAGGAAAGACTGGAAAAATCCATCCTCCACCACCAGCTGACAGGGAATTTTGAGAACCAAGGCTTCCTTCCACATGCACCTCCTCCTCCCCCGAGCGGTTTGGCGGAGGGTGGGAGTGGGGATGAGTCAGGCCGGGAAGGGGGAACTCAGCCATAAACAAGTGGGACCGACAGCGAGCACTTTCCCTGAGGCGTGTGACCTCCCACGGGCCTCCAGGGACTCCGCCTGAATGGCTATAGCTTAAAAATTTCATGATCTAGGCTTTGCAGATTTAATCTGCTATGTTCATGTAAGCAGCCACAGAAAGGGGGAAATCTCTAGATAGGAGGTGGGGGATGAGGAAGAAGATAAATTATGTCTAGTCTCTCAGTGGAGTGCAGTTTTTTTAATGAGTGTTCCATTTTTGCAGATGCTTAGTGTACGTAAGGCTGGGCTGGGTCTTCCTCCTTTCCAGCTCCAAACCAAAAGGACATCCAGGATACAGAATTGTAGGGTTGGACCTGGTTTTGGAGATCAGTGTGTGCCAATTCCCTCATGCACCAAGGGAAGTGACTTGCCCAAGTGCATACCTTGGGCACACTCTGGAAAGAGATCTCAGGTCTCCTGGATCCCGGGCCTGCCTGTGTTCTGTTGAATGTCAGGAAAGCCCCAGGGTGGGCATAGCTACACGCTTAACAGGGAAGTAAGAGGTGGCCAGAGAGAGACCAGGGAGCCATGGGGGAACAGGCCAAATAGTGACCTACGAGGGCTTCTCTCTGCCCTGGAGCTGCAGCTGCGGTGAGGGAGATACACAGCCACCTACCTGCTCCAGGGGGATGACCAGGAAGGAGCCACCTCCAGCGCTCTCAGTGACAATGGCCAGGAAGCGTGTGTTGACAGCGCAGAAGTGGTTATCGTGCACATTCTTGGTGATGGGGATCCCGTCAAAGCAGTGCTCCCGGTTGGCCACCTTCCCGTAGACATTCCGGAACTTGGAACTTCGGTATTGTGGACGCCAGGACATCTGTGAAAGGCCAGGAGAAGGCCAGGGTCAGGCTGGGCTGGGCACTAGGGGAGGGAGTTGAGCTTTGGGGATGCAGAAGGGCTGGGGTGGGCACAAGGTGAAGGAAGCTGAGCCTTGGAGTGGCAGAAGGTGAAGAGTCCTGGTGCCAGCTCTCAGGAAGGGGGGAGAGGGGAAAGAAGCTCCAAGAATTCAGGGCCCTCTGTGTGCCCAGCCCTGTGCTAGATAAAGTCCTACAAGAGCAAAGACTGGCATAGGGGCCTACACACACACACACACACACACACACACACACAGAGCCTTCTGGAAAGGTTGTAGGGCTATTTCACTACCAAGAAATGGGCCACATGGTAACAAACTAATAACAAATATGGACTTTCTCCTGAAGGCCTGAAATTATGCTCAATTCAGTGTAGGAAGGGAAGGCAAAAGAGGCTGGGGATTTACAAAGATTGAGAACGATACTGACAACAGGAAAGGGGGTATGTCCCTCCATGTGCAAGAAGGCAAACCATCACCTGCTACCATCCCCGCCTCTGATTCGAATCCACAGGTGCAGCCTGAGGAATCTCAGCCCTGTCTGTCATCACCATCACCGTCATCATCAACATTAGGCACAGAGAGGTGATATGATTTGTCCAAGGCGGCCCAGCTGAGTAGGACCAGGAACACAGGACTCCTGACTGGAACTTTGAGACTCTTTCCTATGCCAGACCACCCCTTAGAGCAGAGTTTACCAGCATGTGGCCCACAGATTCCCTGTATCAAAGTCTCCTGGGGTGGGGGAGGTCTCTGAGCCTCCTACGTCATTTATTAGCAATGTTGGTCTGGAACCCACTCCAACTCTACTGAATCCAATATTTTAGGGATGGGGCCCAGAAATCAGCATTTTGACCCAGTTTCCTTGCCTACCCCCTGGGTAAGACAGAGCAGCACACCCACCTTTGAGCGCCTATTCTAGAGAATGGAGTAGGGGCTCCTTCTCACCCCTCCCTGCCTACCGTCAACAACACAGGCTCCAACCAGCCAACAAGAGATATGTCACTGGCAGTACGGTGTGCCAGCCCACAGCCAGACACAGTGGAATACAGGTGCACACTGAGGCTGTGTGAGGGCAGAGGGGCAGCCCTCAGTGGAGTCGGGCTTGGCTGCGGGATGATGCCTCCTGTGGGCACCACTGCAGAGTGACCCCAGGGGCCTGCCCTCCTGGCAGACACACGTCCAAGCATCATGGGCACGTGTGAGTGCCCAGCCTGGGACATGGCATACAGCAGGGGTTCAATAAGTGCCTTTTAAAACAAATACGCCTCTGGCCCAGCAGGCTTTGCTCTTATCCATCCCCTTCCCCTCCTGCCAACTCTCTTGATGAGCCCTGAGTCTCCCGCCCCATCTCAGGACAGAAAAGGGCAAGTTAATGTCTTCAGTTAAATTCCCAGGGGAGGAAAAACAAAAGGAAATGCCAGCAACTTGGGAATTTGAAAACAAAACTTTGCATTTGATTTAAATAAAGCCAGGAGCTAAGCCACAAAAGGCTCTTTATTGAAGGAAGAAGTTCAGAATCCACTAAGGAGAATCCCAAGGAAAACTCCAGCTCTCCCCGCCCAATGCTGCCCTTCCTCTGCCTCTCCTCTGCTCCCCAAGGCTGCCCTCCACCCGAGCAAGGCCAGTCTCCCTCCTCCCCACTCCTTCCTCCCCTTTCTGCTGAGTTCTGCCCAAGACTGGCTGAACATTCCCTCCTGCCAAAGTGGGGTCCCATGTAGTCACTCAAAGTTCTTTTACATGGTACAGAGATGAAGCTTTTAAGTCAAGTGTTTATTTTAATTTGCATTAGAAAAAATATAACTTGCACACCAAATCCATATTTCACAAACACTATTGCTAATAAGGCTAAGTTTAAAAAAGTGAATCAATTCTAAGAAAAATACAGTATGACACGATATAGTATGGTATGGGCAGTTTGTGGACCTGGCAAAACTTCAGAGGTGGGAATGCTGGCAATTGCCCTGTCTTTTCCAAGCAGAATATTCTAGATTGCACAGTTTCCACAGATGAGAAAGGAGGTACTGAGCTTGCTCCTCGCACCCTCCTGCTCCTTGCTGGTGCAGGTCCAGGTGGAATGTCTCCTCTCTTCTTTGCCAGCCAAATCTCAGCCATCAGGGTCTGACTTACCTCTGACCTCCACAGCCCAGAGCAAGCGCCCTGGGACCCCCAGACAGTCAGCACCTCACCCTCCACTCCTAGACCTTGTCCTCCATTCCCCTTTGTGGGACTGGGGTCTGCTCTATGATGGCAAGAAGTGACACGAGAGCCTTTCCAGCAGAACTAAAGACAAGTTTGTGCTTTTTCTGGGCAGCCCTGATGGGTCCTGGAGGCTTTGAGGAGACCTGCTGGGAATCCGGGTTGGTGGCAGGCCTGCCCCTCCTTGAAGGGAGCCCAGACCAGTGGGGAGACAGCTGGGTACAGCTCAGCCTCCCCCAGAACCCAAGGCTCGGGGAGCCACTTCACAGCCCAAGCCTGGGGGGCAGGGACCACAGTTCTCTCTCTGGCCCCAGCATGGCCTATGGCTGGGCATGGGGACAGTCTGTCTGTACCAGGCCTGGCTCTGTGCTCTTCCCAGGGTGGACTTCACAGCAGGTCTCTGGGGTGAGGGGTAGTATCTGAGAAGAAAAGTGCCAAAACCAGACTGGGAGCTCTGCAGACCTGAACTCAATGCCCACCCCTATGACTTGGGCAAGGAAGATTAGCCGTGTGACTTGGGCAAGCCACCTAACCTTTTTGTGCTATTTTCATCCTCTCCTGCATAATGGAAGCTTATAATCCCCACCATCTCCAGGGGCTGGAGAGGAGTCAATGCCAAGCTGCCCAGGACACACCCAGCACAGGGCGCAGTGACCTCACCAGCAATACCCACACTTAGCTGGGTTTTCTCAGGTGGAGCCCTGAGCTGCCCACTGCTCTGTGTATGTTGTCCCTTCTGTCTTTACCTCCTCCTCCTCTCTGTCCTGCTCCTTCTTTCCCCTTCCGGCTCCTTCTGCTTCTTCCTTCTCTCTGCCCCAGCTGCCCAGTCCTCAGCATACAGACACAGGAAGGAGGCATTTTTGGTGAAGTTCCGGTGGGCACACTTGCATCCTTCTTGAATGACTCCTTACTCATCTCCTCATTGCCCCCCCAACAGCCCAGCTTCTGAACTGGATGCAGTGTCTTGGGAGGCCATAGCCCTCAGGCTTGGGGTCAATAGGCATGTTCTCCCAGGGAGCATGTGCCCTAGGAATGTGCCTGGACAGGCCCAAGGAGGAGGCAATCTGCTTCCTAGAAAGAGTGGAGAGTGTCCCCCAAGGACTTGCTCAAGCCTGGGCGGCTCTCCCTATGGCTGGTAGGCTGGGGCTGGATCTCCATGGAGATTCTCCCTGCTGGGCCTTGGGAAGAGCCAGATGTAGGGAGGTCAGGGGCCTTGCTGATCAGCAGGCCCACATCCCCGTGCCTGCAGCCCCCACTCCAAATGAGCCCTCACAGTAGTGTGCAGGCCAGTGGGGAGCCAGGAGTCTGCAGCTCTGGCTCTGTACCCCATTCAGAGTCCTACCAACCTTGGGAAACACACTTGGCCTCCCTGAGCACCAGCTGCCCCCACCCCCGCCTTCCCCCAGGACCCTCTCTTTCTTCTGTTGTGGAATTACTGGAGAGGAACTTGCGAAGATGACTCCTGATTCCTCACTACTTCAGCACACATTTACCAGGAAGGAGGGCAACTTTCTACCTTAGCACATTGCCATTATCACATCTAAGAAAACTCAATTCATCTAAGGCCAGTCTGTATATACATTTCCCCCAGATGTCTTTTACAGCTATTTTATTTTTTGAACAAGGCTTCAATGAAAGTTTCATGTGGCACATTTGATTGTGATTTCCCTCTTGTCTCTTTTAATCTAGAACACTTCCACCACTGAGGTTAATGGTTTTGACTTCATTATTATTCCCTACCATTCAGCTTTGGTAGGGAATAAGAAAAGGGAGGAGAAATTCCTAGTAATGGAATTGTGGGATCATGCAGAATTTTACCACAAAGACATTTGCACCAGAATGTTTATTGCAGCCCAATTCATAATTGCCAAGTCATGGAAGAGGCCAAAATGCCCATCAATCCACGAAGGGATAAACAAATTGTGGTATATGTATACCAGGGAATACTACTCAGCCATTAAAAAAGATGGGGACTTTATGTCTTTTATGTTTACATGGATGGAGTTGAAACATATTCTTCTTAGTAAAGTATCTCAAGAATGGGGAAAAAGTATCCATGTACTCAATACTATCATGAAATGAATATACACTTACAGATTTACACGAAAGATAAAACACAAATATAATCTAGCCAGAGGGAGGGGAAAGAAAGGGGAGGCGATTGGTGGGAGGAGGGAAGGCATTTGGTGGGATCTTGCCTAATGTGCACAATGCAAGGGTACACTTCAAAATAACTAAGAGTAAATTATAAATGTCTTACCACAAAAAAAAAAAAAATGAGGTGATGGTTATGTCAACCAGTTTGATTTAAGCATTCCACATTGTAAATCAAATCATTACATTGTACCCCATACATATACAGCTAGGATTTAATAAAAAATTAAATGTAAAAAAAAGAAGAAAGGGGAGGAGAGGGCAGAGGGAACATGTGACCACACTCCTGGTCTGGCTGGTGACAATTGAGGGGGCTGGCTGGCCAGGGCCAAGGGTTAGTTCTGCGGGGTAGAGGGCAAAGGCTGGAAGGCCTGGGAGGCTGGTTCAGGCTCCAGCACACACTGAGGGCCCTGGAGGTCTGACCTTTCTACCCTGCATTACTAAGGGGCTGACCTCATTCTGAAGTCAGAGTGTGAGTGTGCAGGCAGGGAACAGAAAAGAATCCTCCCAACTTGGCCAGAGGGAGGAGGCCACGCTAAGTCTGCAAGTGGGGGAGCTGCTCAGACCTCCACAAGAAATCAGTGGGGGTAGCTATGAGGTGACCTGAAATTCTAAC